TCACTAAACAGTTTATCCTTCTTGTGCCTATGCATCCACTCTCTTTTGCAGTGACCCTGGGATATGGTGGTCCTAGAACTCAAAGCACTACAATTCAAGAAAACATAAAAATACATGAAATATTTGAAGATGCAGAAAACATTGTAATTAGCATGAGAATGTACGAGTGAAAACCTGCATGAGGTTTTTTTACAGAACCAATCCCCAAAGTCTGTTCCACAATTTCCATAAGGCAAAGTTCAGTCCAGATGGATTGTGAGTGTGAGCTGGGGGTGTGGATAATGAAGTTCTGACAGATGGTGATGGTGATGTGAGTATGAGCAGGGTTGTCAACATGGATGAGCTCCAGCCTCCAGACAAACAATGACAATAATGTGATGATAGTTTCTGATTGTCACAACTTGTTCGCCCCAACCTTATTGCTGTTGCCAAGCAACAGAGCTGAAGTCTAGTCTAGACAGTCTAGTCGCGCCACTTTGACGCAATCAAAAGGATCCAGCCCGTGGATTGAGGTACTGCTATGGCAACAAACAAGCTGACCTTTAAGCTAAGGGCCACCATACTTTTTCTTGTTTGCATGTTTTGTACATGTTTTACACTGGAAGGTGTATTTTGATGGGGTGTGTTGTAATCGTAGAAAGGGATGGGTCAAATTTATTTGCATGACATATTCCAAAAAATATATTAAGCAATGCTGCACATAGCGATGCAGCTGGCCTATCTCACATATCAAAAGGTTGTAGTACACAAATTGTTAAAATAAAATTGCTTACAACTTTTACAGAGAAAAATGCAGAATTTATGTAATCTGTTGAATTTAAAGAATGTAATTTATTAATTCAATTAAAACTATAACTAAGCAGTTACTCACATTTTGCACTTTACATATGTATCTCTATTAATTGTATATCAATCAATCAAATTGTATTTGTATGGCCCATGTTCACAAATCACAATTTATCTCATAGGACTGTAACTAGGTATTGATGGGACATTAATTTCTTTCATGTGATAAGGGAGAAAAGGAAAGAGAAGCTCCCAACACTGACAACATAGAACCAGACTCAAGACATGGTTGCAGACATGGGTTATGTATGTGTCATTGTTGCCTTCTTGTTTTGGAAATGATTATGTCGTGTGATGCTTCCGACTGAATCATATGTCTTACAACCCAGCTGCTCTGGATTCTGTCTTTCCACCACATTTTTGTAAGCAGGCAGCAGGGAGTTCAACTGGACATACTTTTGTCAATGTAGCGTATAGAATGCATGTGTAGTATGAGAGTAAACTCCATTCCATTACATTGTACAGCAGCAAATATAAAAAAGAGATTTTTTCTTTTTGTCCCTAGTGTTAAGTGTTCAAGTTACTATCATTCTTATTAATAAATAATTCTCATTCAGATGTCAGTTAACCACTGTATGTTCACCAAAGACACAATTAACAAAACCCATATTTCCCAAGTTTAATAGTCGATGAATGAAAAAACACAGAAATGTTTTCGTATTCACATACAGACCATGAATTGTCACAAAATCCCCTGAAGTTGAAACTGTGAAGACACTGAGGAGCATTGAGACCAGAAACACCCATAAGCACGCACACACACACAGGAGACTTTAGGGGCCACCTCAGCAGCCCCCCTAATCTTCAGGAAAAGCTACGAAACGCGAGCACATCCAGAAGAGTACATCTCTCCTGATTAGGCGAATGTGTTGAGTGCTGGGGTGGGGAGTGGATGGATAAGTCCCAAGATTCAGGTGAGATGGACAGCATTTATTTCCTCTGTACCACTCAGTATGGAGAGTCCACAATCATGTTTTATTGTTTTCTTTTATTTAGACAAACCCAAATAAAAGGCACATAAAACATTGCGCATATGTTTACATAATTATTCTCAATGGACATACATTTAAAAAAAATGTAGGAATGTTTTACCTTTCTGCTAATCAGAAAGCCTAGCCTTCGTATATACAAAATTACCATTGTTAATGTTCTAATACAAAAAGATTTATAAAAGGTTATTTTTTTCTTGCATGTCTGTCATAACTAACATGTCCTCTGAACTAAATGGTTTGTACAAAGATATACATTCATTTGCCTTCACATCTGCCAAATTCATCATACAAACTTCACAGAAAATAAAAATCATCTTCCAAATCATAGTTCGGCCAATAAATGGTTTGCTTTTCACATTAGGTTGGAGTCAAATTAAAAACTTAAACCACATGGTTGAATGTAACTGATACATTTATGACCTTGACTTTAAGATTGCAATTCATGTTTCAAGGTTGTTCTTAAAGAGAATATGATAACGTCACAATCATTAGGTTTAAACATAATAATAATACAAACAAAAAGCTAATCACAATATTGTTTGGTTGCCAGACCGTGGCCCTCGGCTGTCTAAACTGATGAAGGCTTCCTTCACAAAACTGTTCCATCACACAGCACATCTAGAGGAGGAAGCATTGACATGAGGAAAAGTCTTGCAAAGTATATTAGGCACACATGTTTACGGCCACTGGAGAAGGACAAATGACGCCACACGCTTCCTTTCATACTAATTTTTTTAGTGTTTTGTTTTCATAAGTCACTAGTCTTCTAATACGGTTCTTGAACTCAAACCTACTCTGGACTAGCTCAGTCATCCACATGCAACATTGGATAAAAAAATAATAACAAAGATGGTTAATGAAATGGTTTCAAAGATCATAATGCCATTCCACATCAGAGCATTTCCCTTGATGGACAGAGTCGGCATGCATACAGCTAAATTAATGGGCCAAACTTAATGCAGATGTGGCCGAATGAACTTAAACAAACACAGATCATCCCCTTATCCCATTAAACTGAAATGCCCTTGATAAGTACCACTCTTCTGTAGTGTGCACATCCTACAGTTTGCTGCAAGTGCTTCAGAGTTCCTGCACTGAAAAAAGGCTGTCAACCACACACTCAGCGCACATACATGCACATGCACACACACACACGCACGCACACACACACACACACACGCGCGCGCACACACACAAAGCTAGGGAACTGTGGGACAGTTTGTGAGGCTGAGATCACAAGACACGTGAACATGTCCACACCTTTGTTCAGTCACTGTCCATGAAAAGCAAAACCAAGTATTCAAGTGAAGTGCACCAAGTGTTTCCAGTAATTGTGAATGACACATCGCAGCCCTCATATCAATATTCTGACTTATTTCTCTCCTTCATTAACAGAAGGTGTGTTTATGTGAATTTGAAGGATTCCACTTGGTCATAAGCTAAACTCAAATGAATCAGCTCATGTAACAGAATCTGACAACTGCTCATTTCAAGTTGGAATTGGAGGGGCTGCATCAGACGACATTCAAAAAGAGCCGATCCGACAATCACACCCGCGTCTCTCATTGATTGATAGAGTATGTGATTGCTCATGCTTGATTTCTTTCATGGCCTTGTCACTACAGACACACCAAAAAAAAGGTGTCTTTGAGAGATAAAGCTCTGGTCTGAAGTGAGGAGGCGGCTGGAGGACCTTCATCTGCTGTTGTGTTCAGCTCCGCTCTGGAATCAAATCACCCCTCTTATGTTTGCTCCACGTCCCTATAAGACCAATACAACATACAGGGTCCAGGATTTATTAGACCTCTCAGCCCTGATCAAGAGTCTCACTGGACCAGGTAGCTTGGTCTTTTGATATTTCTCTTTGTGTGCCACTGTGTTGTAGCTGTCATGATGTTCTGGTGATTTTGCAATCAGCTAACCTGACCAATGTCTCCCAGATCCCAGTGAGAGCTGCTTGGATGAGGGGGTCCTGCGTTCTGGTGTTCTCTGTTGCCTTCACTGAATAGTTCAGTGGTCGAACAGATGATGTTCAAACCATCACACACAGGTTATCGACCAATCTGTATCTTGGCAACATGGATAACACTCCTACACTGTTGCTTTTTCCAGGTACACCTGAGCTTTGAATACATTCTTTGTGATCACAGCCTCCATTTACCTGTTAAGATCAACTGCCAGGAAAAAAAAGTAAAATAACTACTACAAATAAACAATGAGCAATGCAAGTGAGATCTACAGAGAATTCAGATTAAAAAGGACAAGTCTGAAATTACCTCACCTCTTTATAACTGACAATTTCCCTGAAGAGGCTCTAACCAACAATGAGTTCAGCATGCTGAAAAGTTGGATCTATGTAGCTACAGCCTGACAAGGCTTCCACTGTACCATGGGAGAAAGATTAACAAATATACAAGAGCCATACTGTGTGACATGTAACACGATCAGTATGTTTTCAACAAGAATTCATCTTCAGATGCAAAGCACTACATAAAGCAATGACATGAATAACACTGAGAACCTGTTCAGATCTGGTTATAACAACTGTATCAGGTGATCTAATCTTAAAGGTACAGTGTGTAGAATTTAGTGACACCTAGTGGTGAAGTTGCATGTTGCAGCTGAATAAGCCTCACTTCACCCTCCCCTTCCAAACACGACAGAGAACCTGTGGTAAACTTCAGCTGTCTGAAAAACTCAAAAGGTGTTTAGTTTGTCCAGTCTGGCATACTGTAAAGAAACATGGCGGCCTCCATAGAGAGGACCCCCTCAATGTAAATATAAAGTATTTAAATATAAAGTATTTAAATATAAAGTGCCCATTCTAGGGTAAAGAAAACATTTGTACAGTTTTGATTGAACACACTAGTGAAAACATCATGAGGATTATTTTATATTCTATTATGCCAATAGATCCCTTTCATCTGAATCTTACGCACTGAAGCTTTAAGTGTTCAGCTCTGATTTCATCAGTTCATACCTGGCATTGAAATGTATGTCCAGTTGTAATTATACATTTCTGTTCATAAAGACCAAATTATGTTTTTTTTTATTCAGTCTGGGTTTACAGGCAGGTCTGTTGGCATTATAAGAATGTGGACACGTGTCCCAGACTACCCCAGATGAGCTGAGGAAACAGATGTCCTGAAACAGGTTATGATACCAGGTCTGAATAGGGCCTCAGTGTTTATCTCAAATAAGAAGTGTCAACTAAACAGTAAAGCTCCTTCATGCATTTTAATTGTTTTTGGACAACGATGGAATTGTGTGTGATAATGGAAGCACAAGCTCCTGGATATCAAGCTGTAGCTTGCTACAGATGGTACTTGTTGGCATGTGAATTGTTGGTTTTTGGCCCTTTTTGCAAATTGCTTATTATCAAAGAAACTGTCACCTTTCTTATCCTTTCATTAGCCTCTGCTCATTTCTCTGTCCTCTCCAGGATGGACGGCCACACCAGTGGTGATTTAGTTCTTGCATTGCTAGCCTGTGGTAAGTAGAGAGGTTCACTCTCTCACAGGTAAAAGGCAATAAAATAGTGTTTCATATTTACAAAGAAATGGTCAGTGTGTAAATTGTTGAACATGGTTTAAAAGACTATTCTCAGTAACCTTCCTGAGTTTGACTGACAGTGATGGGATCCTATACCTGCTAAAGTAAACAACCTAACCATACAAACATACCAAAATAGTTAACTTTGGAAATGCTTCCACAGCACAAGTCTCATGAGCCACTGTGCAGCTCTTCTGACCTCTACAGTTACATAAGTCCTCAGTATTCAAAATTTCAAATCATTTGACGTATGATAATACTGCCATTTTAAGGGCAACACTAGAGGACGTGCTTTCAGTACAAGACACTTCCTCCTAGTTGTACCTTCAACTGTCCTGTCCTGATATAAATACATAAAAAAAGTCCTAACAAATGTCACAGATAAACTTATGTAGAATATCCAGCAGTGAGGAGTGACTGGTTTCCAGCTATTTCAAAATACAGACATGGTAGAAGCTGATGGATCTAACCAGCCTTTGAACCATCAGTGAAATCCACAATATCACTCACTCTTCCCCAATGTGGAAGCTTTGTTTTTCTGTAATTAAACTTTAAAATACATTAACTATTAAATACTGATAAGTCCACTAAAATAACAATAGGAAAAAACATGAACATGAAAAAATATGCCTCAAGAGGAAGCCATTCGGAACAACTCTGGCAATCGATTCCATTGACGCAGTTGCTAAACAATGCCTCGGGTATAATTAAGTTCTCACACGTCATCCATGTTTGAAGTCAGATGGCCAGTTGAAGAAATCAATTTCAACTAGTCATTTTTACAAGACCTGACACTTCAGTGGCTGAAGAGAAGTTAAAGAATTGTGGGGAAAGGGCTCTGAGGGCATTTTCACACCTATAGTTTGTTTGCTTTGGTCCGATTCAGTCGGTGAGTTTGTGAACTTGGCTCTTTTTCCTTTGTTCGGTTTCTATTCACACATAAAATCCAGAGCCAAAATGCATCACTACAAACCACATGAATATTCTCTCCACCAACTGGTCAGATATTTTGGGGCAAAAAGTAAAAACTGTTGGAAGGTACCTTGTTTCTTATCACTGATCCAAGCAAGACTGATTTGCTGTTAGTACAATTACTACACAAGCTGCTACAGTTTGTGCACTGCATTCCAAAATGCAAAGCTCACAAACCCATGTGGGACCATGTTGCCACCACAAATAAACCCTCCAGAATTTGTTTAGGACCAGACTAAAATGACCCCCTCTAAAGGGTCTTGGTGGTGTAGATTTGGAGTGATCAGTGTGTTCACACATGTCCCAATAAATCGCGCCAAGAGTCCGATTAAACCAGACTGAAAAGTGTAGGTGCAAAAACACCCTCAGAGGGTTTGACTCTCACAGCATATATCGTGTTAACTGCTGTCACTGCTGCAGTGAGCCAGCTAACTGTCAACTAACTGTCATATTAACACAAACTGCTCACGTTTGTAAAAAGGGGAGAGCAAGGGATAAAAACAAGCAAAACATAGGTGAAAATGCAGCAGCTGAAAATGTATTAACTGCCCAATAATTCTAACCATGTCAAAGTGTAAGAAATGGAACTTTTGGTTTTGAAGAGTTATGAGATTCACGATTAGCTGTCACTAATGCAAGCGGGTAAACATTAATAAACGTATCACATATTGAATTGCTGCAATAAGTAGCATTATTATTGCAACATACTGTACATGATGAGTCTTGGGAAAGATGCAACATTTGAACATGTTGGCTGCTACTGTAAAATTAGTCAGGCTCCACATGTCAAACCCTCCTCTCACAGTTCCAGTGGTGGTCCAGAGGTGAATGGGACACCTCACCAGGTTCATGACTCTGGGTTTCTAAAGAAAACTTTTGTTCCTTGATGGTCTAATGCTGTTTAAAGGTTTTCTAGTAATCTTTCAAAATATATAATTCGGTGGAAACCCTATAGTTAGAAAATCTTTGGTATAAAATTGTCATTATTTACACAGTAACTGTATCCCATGAGGTCATGTTATGCTGACATGTGAAATACGGTCTCTTAAATGCTCTGCAGCCTTTGACTACATTCATGTCATTCAGGCAGTAAGAAATTTAATGTCTATCCAAGTGTGACAAGTTGACTTTGGAGAGTGGAGGCCAATCACATCAGTTGCTGAAGACCATCTCCACCCCACCACATAAAATCCTGTTACATGACAACTGTAAACATTTGCCATAATAATGGCTCCTGCAAGTAGTGATCATTGGTTACTATTTTTGTGGTCGGATAACATCAACACCTTTTTAAATTGAATGTCAACCATTTTGAGAGATATTTAATATTTGACAGGCTGATGTATTATTGGGCAGTTTAAACATTATCTGCGGTTACATGGGCTAACACAGTTCTACCAAGGAGGGGAGGAAGGCAGAACTTGGGATAGAAAAGGCATGCTCTCCATAGGCCGCATGGCAATGTTGAGTGGCCCGGTGATATTCATGGACATGGGAGTGGTGATAGCAACTGGGTGGGCAATATTCATGTGTGCTGTTGTCGGTATGTTGACAGAGGCCAGGTTTACTGGGCCGGTAATGGTGACAGGGTGCTGCAGGTTGACTTGTGACGTGATGTTGACCGTGCTGGTGGCGATGTTCATCTGCGCAGCGATGGTGACTGGGTTGCTGGCATGGCCGACCCGGTTCAAAGATGAAGTAATGGCTGCCGAGTTGCTGACCGGCGTTGTGGTGGCTGAGTTGTTATGCACATTGTTGGCATCTGTGTTAAGAAAAGAAAAGAGACACAAGAGTCAATTTAAGGATTGTCAACCTTGTAGAAATGTACTACCCCTCCAAAACAAGGAAAGCCAACAGCCCTCTCAATTCTTGGCCGTTTAGCCGGGTCACTGAAAATGTCAATAATGTTATGAATACTTTATGTCAACTGTGGTAATATTGTTGAAGAAACCTACCTTTGTGAGAGTTGTCAATTAGGACTTGGAAGGAGTTATTTAAAATCTCTCCTACTGTCAACTCACCTGAGGGGTAAATTCAAAAAGCAGGATCAATAGACTAACCAGCTGTCTATTGTTTTTATTCAAAACTTTCATTTTAAACAGTTACACATTATAAAGGACATCTTAGTCTCCGTGTTTTCCTGGATTCACACTACAGACCATCTCAGATGAGGTCAGGGACAGCATATCACAGGCTCACTGTCACATTGTCTGGCCCATGCTGAGTGCATCAGCTCTCTGCAGGGTCATTTCTGATCCAATCTCGACTGGGAAGTCCCAGTCTTCAGAAATGTTTGCTTCTATAGTTTGTATTTCTGATTTCTTATAGTGGTTTAAAAAGCTGAGTTATCAATCAGGTCAAAGTAAAATTACAGTTAGGTAAAGAAATATAGCATCTGATGTAAGGTCAGTTAGTGTGAATCTAGGCTCAGTGTTATGGTCCAGTTTGTTCTACTGATCCTGCTTCATGGAATTTAACCTTACATTAGCATAATATGCTAAACTGCATCTTCAAATCAGAGAAACCTTAATGTCACCAGTCCTCAGAGAAGATAAATGCTTCTATACTTGAGTGACATGGTACAATGTGAAGAAAAACTGGCCACGTGTATTTTGCAGATTTGCAGAGGTTATAATTGAGTGTTAAGGGGTTTCTGTTACTAGCTACTGGATTACCTTTTCGTGGCCCTGAGTGGTTCCACTGCCAGTCACTTATGCCTATTCAGAAATACAGACACATATGGGGTTACAAGAGCACAGGGCAGCAGTGCCATCATCTGGGTGTCATCTTCAACAATTGGGCATAGTCAGGTTGTTTGTATATGGGGTGGAGCTATATATTTTGTTTCTGCCCCTACAGTTTTGGGGGTCAAAAACACAAAACAAAAAGCTTTCTATGAATGTCATCTCTGTAAAGAAAGTCCAAATACAAAGAACTAATACTCTTATAGCTTCATAATTGACAGTAATTAGGAAGGTTTTTTTCAACTTAGTAACAGTGTTTGACAGTAACAGCTGTCATGATCAAGCTTTAAATTTTGTTTCTGTATGAAGCTAAGCCTCATTTGAAGCTCAGATATTACATTAGTCACTTTGCAGGGATATTATTCGACACAATACACAGAATGCATTCACCAAAATTAATGATGTGCAAATTTAATGATTAACCAGTTTGTGAGTTTGTCTGTCTGTGTTGTGTGTATTCTAATGGTCAAAACATACTTTCAAAGTATTTTAGTAAAGTTTTGGCATTGTTCGTGTAAATAGCACAATGCAACTATTTGTTAGATAAGCTACAGTAACAGGTAGGGCTGTAATGATTCTCGAACCCAAACTGCAATCGCGGTCCAGGCGTCCATGCTTTGCGATATGCAAAGACAGACCCACGACAGGTCTCCCTGCCCAACCTCACACACTGCCACGGTTGCCTGTTGCATATGTGCCCAATCACAACCCCATGTAATCTGAACCAACACACAAGAGAGTAGTATCTTCAGAGCAATGGGTGTAGAGGACACACACACACACACACACACAC